TTTGTGGATATGCCTCATGCATATTATAGTTAGTTGCAATTCATTTGGTGAAAACCAGTTGCACCCTATTTGAAAGTTTTACACGTTGATCAGTTCCAACTGCAGTACAGTGTAACAGCTTTGCCTCTATCTGTTCAAACCAAATGGGAGAAAGTATACCAAAAGTATTTTCAGAATTATGAGCGAAATTTGTATAAGAAGAAATAAAGCAATGGAGCACATGAAGCCAAATTTCATGAAGTGTGGTGGTTTGAAATTACTTGTTCTCCATACATTAGTCATGAGCTTGTCTTTGTGACTGAAAAGTTTCTGACAAACCTCACACTTTTATGGCTTCCCTTTTATGTGAACCAAGAAATGCCTGTTGAGATGATACGTATTTCTAAACATTTTGTTGCAAATATCACATGTTGTTTTATCAGGCTGTACCGTGGTGAATGCTGAACACAAGTGCAACAGTTAGGAGGGATCTTGCATAGCCGACAATCTGGAGCTGTTTCTCCAGAATGCACAGATAGGTGTCTTGCTAGATGAAATCTGTCATAAAATCTTTTACAACAGAACATGCACTCATGCTGGGCCAATTTTATCCTGTTTGCTGAAGTGTTTCAGTTGTAGAACTGTCCTTTTTCTGGCCATCTTTTGTATGATATTGTCACATATATGTAATGTGGCAGGTTTTAGATTGATGACTGGATTTATTGGACTCTTTGGTACAGCACATGACTATATTTTGCAGTTCAGTGATATACACACACTGGTGTCCACAATAACAGCTTCATTGTCATTGCTTGGTAGTGGCTTCCAATTGTGGATTTTTCCCTTCCTCTGGGTTCCCAAACTGTCCCCAACCTCAGCCACCAGCTTCTCACGGCAACAGCTCACAGCAGCTGAACCCCAGCAGTTATCTAACTCACCAATGAACTGAGTGAAACAGTTAACTGGCCTTGCTTATAACACATTGGCATGGACCACACAGAAAACACCTTTCCTCTGTTGCACTGTAGTTGTGTTTGTGTCTCTTGGGGTGACCACATGATTACAACTGAGCTATTGCCATGCAATGTCTGTTGTTTGTAGAGCCATTACTTAGCAGCGGCTGTTGTATAGTTGTTTATTTCACGGTTGTTGCCTAGCATCTGGCGTACATGCCACAATACATTTGGCTTCCTGACTATTAGATGTCCTTCATTTTTCTCTCCTTATCTGTCTGAGGCAGTTGACCTGCCAGTGAAGCAGAATTTGAAAGCAGCATTCCATTAGCATTCTCATGTGTTCCATTTGCCTTTTTCTAACCCCTCTCTTCAGTATTCTAAATACCGGACATGTCAACATCTTAGTACAAGCTGTCAAAGTCTGTACATGAGGATGGATCAACTTTCACTTCAATGTCGTCTCCTTGTTGAGACACAGAATTAGGCTTGAAGCTACTTCTGCTTTTGGTGCCGTGGCTGCAATGTGAGGATGTTACTCCAGACTCTGAGTCATGGCCAGAACTTTGGGTATGATCTTCAACACAATAGGATGTATACACTGCCTTCTCCATGGTCATCACACGCATGTAACAGGGTTCACATTAAATTCATTATGTTCCTACAGACAAGGGGGCTCAGTTGCAGCCTTAAGTACACCTGCTGCACGTTTCAAGTATATTCTTGTCCGAACCTGCAGTTCAGTCTGCATCAGTGCACATAACAGATTTTGTAGTAAGACTTTTATTTAAAGTGTTAACAGCAGTCACATAGTTTTCATTTCATGCATCCTGTTGTGTTATTAAAACCATCGCAACACAACAATATTACCTGCGACGGTTTTAATAAAGAAATTGTATAGTCACATAGTTGACGTCAGTTGTCAAGTTATTATATGCACTTCACACTACTGCTTCATCCTCAGAAGCTTTTGCCTGTGTAACCATCCCCTTTCCTTTCTTTGTATTTATGCAGGCTCCCGTAGATCACTTAACTCATCTCAGGTTTGTACCACAGCAGTAACTGAAGCAACCGGAAAGTGCACCCTTGAAGCCGGTCCACTGGACCAAATCACCAAATCGATAATACAGCAGCAACTTCCAAAGTTCATAAACTGTTTATTTATTTGAAAGGGAAAATTTGCAACTTCCTTCACACAAGCAAGGAGTAATATGGCCATTTAATATTATCAGAATTTAATGTTCCAAAAATGAGGGTCTGATTACTTTAGACAAACTTAAGAAATGCAGCCAGATTATGTCTGACTCCAGTTAATTTAAGACACCAAGTCCCCAAGGCAGGAGTGTTGCCTCATCACCACAACAGATTTGAATTGACAGTGCCATCTCCCAGACAAGAATTCACCTCCAATTGGCCGAAATCATCATGCAGTCAGCATAAGCCAATCACATAACAACCCTTGAGAACAAAGCAGTTCCCAGGTATAGAACTCAGACCCTCACATGTGAAAGCAGTTACATTCAACAAATTATGACAGCTATACACGTCAAAATAAAAATAAAATTCATGTTTTGAGAAAACTACAGACTTACCTTCTGTGGTGACCCCTTCCAGTCATTCAAACTAAATATGAGAAAAGGCAGTTGTCTTCTGTTCACGCAAGGGGAACAAGTCATAACTCACCAATAAATCAGTCACTCCTTCTGAAATGACTAAAGAAGGTGATAGCATCCATGGAGAACTGCAACAGGTTCGGACTGTCACACTGGTTGTCTTGCTAAGTCCCCCATGTATATTCTAATGTTTACATTCTTAGACAGCTGATGAGAAGACAAAAGGTTCTGGACTGAATGGTAACAAGCAATACCTGAATTTATTCTTCTCTTAATTCCTTCCTGAATCACATTTTGATTTGTCACTGTCATTCCCAAATACTTCAACTGTGCCACATTTTCAGATGATCTGCTAGGTATCTTTGTGTCATGATTTTGCCCTGCCTTCTGGTGACGAGACAGCAACATATACTTAGTTTTCTCTGCGTTCACTTCTAGACCATCCTTCTTACTAGTGTCAATTAAAGTTTATGTGATTTTCTTTATGGTATCTATATTATCACCCAGTAGATTCACATCATCAGCATAGACCAACAGCTGATGTACCCCATTTAATGTCAGTTCCACCTGGTTTTCCTGGACCTACCTATTTTTTTTATTGCTAGTGGGGTGGGACTAAGTCCCTTGTACTGCGGCCACTTCTGGCCTATTGTACCAGCCCCAGATGATAGGTGAGGGTGATTGTGGAGAAATTGGTGGAATGAAGATTGGCAGGGGAAACTGAAGTACTCGGAGAAAACCTACCCCAGCGCCACTTTGTCCACCACAAATCCCACTTGACCAGACCCGGGATCGAACCCGGGCTGCCGTGGTGGGAAGCCAGCGACTAACCACTTGAGCTATGGCGCGGCCTACCTAACGGCATTATCTAAAGCAAAGTTGAAAAGCAATGACAGTAAAGCATCTATTTGTTTTAGACCATTTTGAGTAGGAAATATATTAGACAAATGTTTATCTGAAGAGACTTTGCTGTAGGTTTCATTTAAACACATTTTAATCAGCCTAACTAGTATCATGGGGACTGCAAACTATGAAAATATTGTAGACTATTTCCCCCTGACTGAATCGTAGGCTTTCTTGAAGTCTATGATTAGCTGATGTACTGTCTCTTTTTTACTCCCATTTCTTCTCCAGTATCTGATGAGTGGAAAAAATATGATCAGTATTGTATTTTATTGTAGTTGTTCTGTTATTTTGATACCCTCACTGATGATCCCCAATAATTTCATATACATATGGACTTAACCTTGAGAGAAGGATATTTAATACAATTATGTATGAAGTAGATAACAACGATATTCCATGGTAATAACTACAGTCAGTTTTATCTTCTGTCTTGTGAATTGTTACAATAATAGATTCCTTCCACTGCATACTTCCTATAGAATTAATGAGTTTATGGATATCAGACTAATGTTTCACCTCCTGCTTGAATCAATTCTGATGGAATTTGATTACTGCCTTGCGATTTATACTTTCTGAATTCCTTAACACTAACCGACACCTGATGATGACACAATAAGCATCAAAACAAGTCATGCCTTTAAGAGATATAACTTTAATGTAAACATTTGTAGACCTCTTAAAGAATTGTTCTGTTGACAAACTGTGATCTGGTGGTCAGCGTTCCTGGCCACAGATCCAGAGGTCCAGGTTCGATTCCTGTTGCTAAAAGATTTTTTTCTGATAAGCAGTGGGTTTGAAATGGGGTCCACTGAGCCTCATGATGATAATTGAGGAGCTGTTTCAAGGAAATAGCGGCTCCAGTCTAGAAAACCGAAATTAACGGCTGTGGGGATTCATTGTGCTGACCACGCGACACCCTCTGCAAAATAGTTAGCACTAAACTTCGCCGACAAGCGGTGGTCGCTCGGTCGGTATAGTTCGCTTGGGAACTACAATCATGGAGTTTGTTTTTAGTTCTGACAGAAACAATAAATATTTTATATACACAACACAGCAGGATACAACAACACATAAAGATTATAGTTTTCAAGCTTTTCGATAACAATTTCAACCTCAAACAGAGAGAATACTAACTGAAAAGTGAATTCAGTCAAATCAATGTTAGGTTTGTAAATTTTCCTGAAATTTATTTAAATAACATTTGTACATTCAGTTCCTCTCCCACAGAAAACATACTGCATATGAATTACAAAAATCAGTCAGTGCTCTTAGGGAAGTATTCCTTGTTCATGTGAGGATCAGTCAAAACTCATATATGTGTTCTGTGGGCAGAGTTTTTGAATGCTAAAGCAGGTTGTATGTATATTATAGCTACCACTGTGTTTTAAAAGTTAAAGGGAGGCATTTGTTTATTTTCATGTTGTGGTGGTGGATATTTTGTTAATATTAACATATCATTATAATTGTGTAAATGTTTAAAAAAAATAAGCCATTACACCTTACTTGTTAATGAATAGAGAAAGTGCTTACAGCTTTGTGACTGTTCCAGGTTATAGTGGGGAATCTTTATGCAGCTGAGAAGCTTGTAATTGAAAAGAAAGCAGAGAAAGAATGGGCGTCTCAACTGAGAATAACAAAGTCATGACTGGATGCTGATAGGAGAATTCAGAATGTGACATGTTACCTGAGTTGTGCTGGCATTGCTACAGTCAATAGAAGTTAAGATGATGGATTCCTAGGCAGAGAATAGATCTTCAAAATGACAGCATAAAATACAGGTTTAGTTAGTTTTGTACTTACTGCAATGAGATTTTCATTTATGTTTAATTTAATATTCGTTTGTCCGGTTGATGATTATATCTCTCACAGTACAATGTTTCTGCTACATACACTTGTCACATTTTACCAGGTGTTGAACTCATGAACAGAGATCATCTTTTGCTTACTGAGATCATTTTAGGTCATATTTGCAAAATTCTAAACATAAGTAATCATGTTGTTGACCTTCTGGTATATACAGATTTGTGTGTGATGACTGTTATTGATATTATCCATGAAATTACTGGGAATTCAGACATAACAAAAAACTGTTATATACTCTCTTAGTGACTGGCCCATTGTTCCTAGTTTTTTAATCTAAGGTAATGAACAAGCATCATTGACACGAAAGTTCTGTATATGTCTTTGATCTGTATAGCCCTAATAATGTGCTCATTGTATTAAGAGCATCGAATGAGATCTCAGTTTCATATTAATCTTATCAGAGTGAACTTCTCTGGTGTCATTGTAGGAGCATAGATTACTCTGAAAAGATTTATCGATTAATGTCTTCAGCTTTTAAATGTCATTGCATTCAGGATATAATTTATAAAATGTTAAATCATTTTAGATATTAAAATGCAGTAAGCATACACTTATCAGCATGCTTATTAGCTCCTTTTGGGTTAACTGTTGAACTTGTTGGATGTCTCAGTTATTAAGATTGTTTTCTTCTGGGTTCTGATGCCCTGTGTTTTGTGGACAGGTGCTGATTTTGTGGAGGAGCATGCTGCCTTCATCTCAAGTGTTGAAGTGTCTAGGTTCAGAAATAGGCTTGTTTTATAGGGAAGTTTGAAGGAGGGTGGTCATGAAACCCAAGGAGAAGGGGTAAGGGAAGGAACCTGGTCAAAACTAATGGAAGAAGTGAGCAAAAACGGACACTAGAAATGGCCCACAACCAGAAGACTGCACTCTTAACAGCCTCCACCTTGAAAACCTCAGAACTCTTAGTTATTGATTATAGTGTCCTGTAATGCCTTTTAAGTGTTGCTGCCTATTACATCTGTTTCAGTAATATTTATGAGTGTTTCTTGGCAGTATTAGCGGTAGACTGTACAAATTTTCATTCTGACTTTCTGTTATCATTTTTCTTGCCATCATGCTATCACTAAACAAAGTTGTTGAAAGATACTGTATTTGTCTCACTGTTTAATGACCAGTAGGCTATACTGTGATGTGATTCTCAGGGTTGAATGCAGTGGCATACTGGGTATTTCCAGACTTGTGGATTGTATGTTTTCTTTAATCATCTGCACCACTTTCTTCCATTGCTGTGGGTAATTGAGAGTTCATTTTATTTGAGAATGCCACACTGTGTAGACAGTTGATTTATGCTGAAACTAAATTTATAACATGACTGATGCAATGTATGACAAAGTCCCAGAATTAAATTAATTGTCTGGAATTATTATGTTGAGAAAGAGTACTTGATGGAACTGGCTTACAATTATGTACAGTGGCAGGCTTTGGTATTGACAGTTTAGAACTAGCAGAGAGTTAACATTATGTAGTTACCATTAAAGTAGCGTATTTCTCAACTCTGCATCAGTGTTTCTCAACCGGGAATCCAAGAGTCTGAGAATTAAGGAAATTCCACTCAGTACATTATAAATTCCACCTTTCAGGATTTTCCTCATAGTATGGTCCTAGACCAAATGGCACCCAAAGTTCCAAAGTATTTTAGGGATAATACTGATCTGTTAGGAATAATGTCTTTTGTGCATGCAAAAGTGAGATGTATCACCATAATTTTTTTGTAAATTTCCAGTCATATAAATTAGATATTCCCACTGATATTGTAAATGCACTTTCATTATATGGTTTAGAGCCATGTTAATGTATGAAATAGTTGGACGTGAAAACAAAACAAACTCCGTTTTTTTAGTCTGCAAGTTGAAAATTATTGACATGATCAGTAGAGTTGGAAACAGATGTAGAGATAGTTTTGAGAGAAAAGAAAGATCCTAAATGAACTCAGACTCTCCCTGTGAAGGTGGTATACAGCATATTTGTCATGAATGACAAAATGACAGCTTTCAAATGGAAGCCATTAATTTGGTCCCAAGGAACAGATAGAGGTATTTATATTTCTTCAGTATTGCCAGATAGTAACAGATTAGCATTTCATATGTGATGAAAAGGAAACCAGTGCTGTCATTAAAATATATCTCAAAACACTAAGTAAAAAATTTGAAGAATACTTCTTGACATCTGAAGACATTTGTAAAGAAAACTTATGGATTCCAAATTCCCCAGCAGATCAATCTGACATTAAACTCCCACCAATAGAAGAAGACTCATCAGACTGGAAGTAATATTTAGGCAGAAATTTCTTCATGTATTTTGTATAACCATTAGGAGGGAATATTCTTAATTGAGTAAGGAAGCTCTTAAAGATTTTGGTTCTGTTCTCATTGGAATATTTGCATTAAGCAGGATTTTTGGCTATGAATTTGTTAAATGCAAAGAAGATAAATGTAGACTAGGCCTTGTGTGTATGTGGCTCACACTTCTAAACTTCACCGAACCCAGGCTGGATGTATTGACAAAAAATGTGTTTTGAGTGTAAATTGCTGTATTTTTATTTGTGCCTTGAACCACTGTTTACATTAGAGTGAAGTTTTGTAGTGAAAACTGTAGAGCGAAAGTTCACATCGGTGTTATGCTCCCTTACTCATGGACAGAAGAAGTTTATATCACAAGTGTAAACTGCCCTTCACTTGATGCTGGTTGCAGTGTGTTTGAAGAATGGGAACACATCAGTGGTGATAAGACTTATCATCACACTTTTACTTCTGCTGTGTAGTAAAGCAACACAACTATTCCTGTCTCTGTCTGTTTTAGTTTCTGTTCTGTTAAAGAGACAGTTTTGCAGAGATGGTCTGTAGAATTAGGGATACTTGGTAAACGGTCCATGGTACTGAAAAGGTTGAGAAACACTGATCTTTGTTACAGCAGTGAAGCCCAGTAACAACTGAAAGATTTCACTGCTTATACAAGTTGAGTATAAACAGACAGAAAGTTTGTTCACACTTAGTGAATTCTGAGTCCCTCCTAAAGTATGCACAATTGCAGAAATATCACTTCTTGGTGTTTATGTAGTAATGGGTGACACACATATCTTTGAAACTTTATCACCATGTTGCCTGCCACATTAACACTGTCAGCCATAGAAGTTTATTTGTGAAAATTAAACCAAAAACTGACTTAAAAGGTTGTGTAGTCGGTAAATTCACTCTACTATTAAGGTTTATAGATATTTATCTAANTGTAGTGGCGGTAGATTTGATATTCTTCTTTTATATTCATTAATTTACCCTTCCTTGCCACTTCAATCAATTCCATAGTTTGCGAAATTGGGCCATATTGATGTTGTCTGTTTAAAATATGTTGAGCATAGGCTGAGTCATATTTATTGAACCTTATACATCTTATATGTTCATTATAGCGTGTTATCAATTTTCTGCCTGTTTGACCTATATACACTTGTTGGCATTCTAAGCAGGTTAATTTGTAAACGCCGCTTTGCTCATAGGAGTTTATGCTTTGTTTAGTATTTAGTATTTTACCTAATGTATGATTTACTTTAAAGGTTATTCTTACGTTCGTGTTTTTGAAAAGCTTCGTGATTTTCCTAGTGTAACCTCCGTTATATGTGTACGAAACAATTCAAAATGTAAAGCGAAAGTTCACATCGGTGTTGTGCTCTCTTACTCATGGACAGAAGAAGTTTATATCACAAGTGTAAACTGTCCTTCACTTGATGCTGGTTGCAGTGTGTTTGAAGAATGGGAACACATCAGTGGTGATAAGACTTATCATCACACTTTTACTTCTGCTGTATAGTAAAGCAACACAACTATTCCTGTCTCTGTCTCTTTTAGTTTCTGTTCTGTTAAAGAGACAGTTTTGCAGAGAGGGTCTGTACAATTAGGGATACTTGGTAAACGGTCCATGGTACTGAAAAGGTTGAGAAACACTGATCTTTGTTACAGTAGTGAAGCCCAGTAACAACTGAAAGATTTCACTGCTTATACAAGTTGAGTATAAACGGACAGAAAGTTTGTTCACACTTAGTGAATTCTGAGTCCCTCCTAAAGTATGCACAATTGCAGAAATATCACTTCTTGGTGTTTATGTAGTAATGGGTGACGCACATATCTTTGAAACTTTATCACCATGTTGCCTGCCACATTAACACTGTCAGCCATAGAAGTTTATTTGTGAAAATTAAACCAAAAACTGACTTAAAAGGTTGTGTAGTCGGTAAATTCACTCTACTATTAAGGTTTATAGATATTTATCTAACAATATTAATTTTACCAGTTCAGCTGTCAACACAATAAATGTTTATTAATTTAAGCCACACTACATGTTTCAGCTCTTAATGGGTCAACTTCAGGTGCTCTTAGTTACACGATTAATTACTGAATTGTAATGCATGCCTAACCTTAGACTTTGCCTGCAACAGTCACAAGATCAGATTTTTGGTTTTGTTAGTGTAATACTGGGCCTGTGGTTTTGAAGGTTTTGAAAAGGTTTGGCTGTTAGTTTTGTTTTCAAAAATAAATAAATGAAAAGCCCTTTGAGAATTAGTCTGTGGGTTTCTCAGTTTTTTGGTTGTCAGTGTTAGCAAGGCATGCAACACAGCCGTAAAATTTTAGAGTTACTTGTATCACCCATTCTTAATAGGTAAGTACCTTATATTTTTTAGACATGATTGTGATGTCTGACAGACTTTGTTTCAGTCACTTATGATTCAGTGCTGTCATGACAGTATCTTGTGTGATCAGTGTTTGTATGGAATTGAAATATGTTTCACAGTTGTTAGGAAGAAAATGGAATGGAAGCTGGATCCACTGAGTTTTGCCACAGGGGCTTTCTACCTTTTGAAAGTGTAGCCTGTAGAAAAAATGAAATTAAAACGGTTTATGTGTGCTCTGACTTGCAAATTCTCTGCAATTCTTGAAATGTCCTTGGCTGACTCTTCTCA